TCTTTTTTTTTTTTTTTTTTTTGAGATAGGGTCTTACTGTCAATAGGATGCCCAGGCTGGTCTCAAACTTGAGATTCTCTTTCCTTATCCTCCCACAGTGTTAGGATTACAGGTGTGTATCAACATGCCTGGCTCAAAATCTGTGCTTACCACCACCACCACCACTACCAGGGATCGAACTCAGGACCTTGCACTTGCAAGGCAGGTGCGGTGCCACTGAACTAAATCCCTGACTCACAAAACCTGTCTTTTTATGTGACCTCCCAGAGGATGATCCTTCAAAGTCTGAAACACATTTTGAGAAGGGCAGGGTGGACCAGACCCATGGTTCCGAGCATCTGCTTACCTTTCTGAATCCTGGCTGCGTGATCCTGGATCAAGACTTCACTTTCCTGAGCCTCAGTGTCCTTGTCTATAAAATGGGAGCAGAAACATTGTCTCCTTAAGGGGCTGATGTGACAAATGTGGGAGAGAACGATGGCAGACCTCTAAGAACCAGCAGAGAAGTTAACGTGGTGCAGGCTGGATTAGAAGCTTGAGTCAGTACAGGGTGTGTGTGTGTGTGTGTGTGTGTGTGTGTGTCTCCATTTGTCTCCCAGTGTCTTCCTGATTCTGTTCTCCATCTGCTCAGAGCAGACCTAAGAGTACGCCTTGGGCCATGAGCCATGTCTAAGAGGCAGGAGTGTGACACTGTGCCCTAACCTGGGTCCCTGACACCTAAGCCTTAATGTGGAGAGAAGAGGCTACTGCCATGCTGGAGTATTCAGGGTACCTGGCTGCTAGCCCTGCCTGCAGTGCCATGTTGGTGGTCCAGCTGTGTGGGTGGCACACCTGTGTATATAAGAATGACAGATTAAAAAAATAATAATAATTTTTAAAAAGAATGACAGTCTGCCAGGGGGGGAGGGTGCAGTAGGTTCCCTTGGTCATAATCCCTGGTAGCTCCGCTGCCTCCAGGCTGACTGCCTCCATTCAGGGGCCACCTGCCTGGAGAGGGAGTTCTGCCTCAGGGCTGCTAGCAGCCAGGCTACTTGTGGCCCACCTGTAATGACTCTGCAGGCATTTCCCTTGTCTGTCTGCCCTCTATTCTAGGTGCTGGCGAGTCAGGGAAGAGCACCATCGTCAAACAGATGAAGTAAGTGCTTTGTGCAGAGGCCAGCTCCAAATTTTGATTCCCCTCTTCTTCCTTTGGGCCTACACTGCCCACCAGTTCAGGCCTGTCTGTCCACAAGCGCTAGTGGGTTTGGGTCAGTGTCCCCGTCCCTAAAGCAGGTCCCTACAGGCCCCTTGTGAGCACCCTATGCCCTGTGGATCCTAACGCCTGACCCCTGGCTGTCAGGATCATCCATGAAGATGGCTATTCGGAGGAGGAGTGCCGGCAATACCGAGCAGTTGTCTACAGCAACACCATCCAGTCTATCATGGCCATCGTCAAGGCCATGAACAACCTGCAGATTGATTTTGCCGACCCGCACCGTACGGTAAGTGCACCACCATCCCCAGTCTTCCGTAAGGTTTCAGGGCAAGTTTTATCCTGGGGCACCTGAGTATACCAATACCTCAGCCTAGGGCCCCATTCCAGAAGCCTCCCTGCCTCTGGTAGATAGGATGGGGGTACACTCCTTCAACTGGCTGAACATCCACCACTGCTATGCCCAGGACGATGCCAGGCAGCTGTTCGCACTGTCCTGCACTGCTGAGGAACAAGGCATGCTCCCTGAGGACCTGTCCAGCGTCATCCGGAGGCTCTGGGCTGACCATGGTGTGCAAGCCTGTTTCAGCCGCTCAAGAGAATACCAGCTCAACGATTCAGCTGCCTAGTGAGTCTCCAGGGACTGGGAAAGTTGAACTGCAGGTTTGGGCCAGAGGACCAGGGCTGTCAGGCTAGAAACCCAATGGTGCCCCCCCAAAAACCCCAAAACAAACAAACAAAAACACAACCCAATGGCTGTTAACTGAGGCTTAGAGATGTATGGGGGAGGGGGATTGGGGTAGTGGTATTGAAAAACCAGAAGGAACGACAGGCAGGGTGGCTTCCACAGTACCTCTTCCAAGCCACTTGAACCTTATCTGTCTTTACATGTAATTGTTGAAGAGAAAATTTGCTGCCACTTGCTCTTTGCCAGGGACACTGTGATGAGTGGAGTAGACAGGTCCCCAAGCAGTGACAGCTGGGAGTGTCATTTCTATGGGAGGGCGAGGCCCAGAGGAGGAGTGGGAAGAAGTTCCAGGCAGGGACATGGCAAGTGCAAATTCTACGGCTGCACTTGACAAAGAAATTCAGGCCAGTTTGCAAGGGACCCACAAGGGGGAAGAGGCTTTTTGCAGATAGCAGGTATGTACATAGGGTGGAATCTGGAACTCCTCTGAGCCTAGCTGGCCTAGGCCAAGCCATAGACTTGGGTGGGGGAGTCACAGTGAGTGCAGAAGCCCGAGTTATGACCAACCTAGACCCTGTGGGTTTTGCCCACCTTCCTGAACTCCTTTCCTGTATTCCCTGCCACATATCAGACTAGTACAGGGTGCTGATCCCACAGGAGACAGGCCAGACAGGCTCCAGGGGACACACACAGTCATTAGATAGCACTCTGCCCCTACTTCAGCCAGGCCCCCTGTGTGGAACACCCTTCTGCTTCTGTTGCCCGGGGGGGTGCGTGGGGGAGAGTCTTGCCTGACCAAGACTCCTGCAACCTAACCCTGTCAAATGAACAGCCTTGCCCCCACCTCCTGTGGCCTGGCTTCCCTTGTGTGTTGTCCCACACATGCCTGCCCTGTGCACCCTGCAGGAGCTGTGGGGTCCTAGCCAAATGCTAAGGGACCTCCAGGCCTCAGCACTGCCCGCCCTGAGATCGGGTCACAGGATCAGCCACCAACAGGGCTTCTGGGTCACAACGGCTGAGAGGGGTTGATCCCTGTCAACTATTGCTTTGTCACTGTCCCTCCACCCCTGTGGTCAAGCAGGGTGGGGACAGAGCCACCTTCAGACCACTTTCCACTTTTCTGTTGTCTTGTTTTTTCTTTCCTGAGACATTAAGTACTGACTGTACGCCTAGCACCATTTTAGGAGTTGGGGATCCAGGCCTTGTTCTCTCTTGACAGGATCACCCTAGAGTAGGGTGTGGATAGGAATGGCACAGGGAGCAGAGATCCATGAGCCCTCCTCACAGGGGTCTTCTGAGACTGTGGTGGGATAGGGGGGTCCCTAGGGTGAGCCCATCTGTTGAGAAGAGAGAGATTAAGGAGACCTCCAGGCTGGGGGCGCCATTGGGGCATGGGGCATGGCATGCAGGTCATAGCACATGTGTGCGTCACAGTCCCCCATGGTCCTTCCTGTTTTTCTCTTCTGTCCCTGTGTCTCTGAGATCATTTCCCTCTGGCCTGGTTTGGCCCAGCCACGGCGGGCCAGCCCAGCCGCAAGCTGTCAGTAGAGGGCAGCAGTGTGGAGGCCAGGTGCAACCCCAGGGTGTAGCAGGGCTAGCCCTTGGCCCCAGCAGTAGTACTACTGATACTAATTAGGGGAGTTGGTAGTGACAAGCCCCTGGGATACCCACCATGGAGGTGTCTGCCCTCTCTAAGGAGCCAATATTTCATTGGGTGCTAGGCAAAGTGCCCACTGGGCCTGGCAGGCCCCAACCTGTCCAGCTGCACATGGAGGGACCACACCAGGCTTCTCTGCAGAGGGACCTATAATTGCACAATTAGCATCCTGCTCGCTCCCTGAAGGACTAATTTGCCCCCTCTAACCCCTTCACCTGTAGCTCCAACATTCTGGATCCAGAATATTTGTAGCTTAGACTTTGGGTGCTGGCTGGAGAGTTACAGAGCCACGCCTTCTCCCGGTCCATGGAAGGGAGACAAGGGCTCTGAATCCAGGTTTCTTCTTCAGAGCTGGATGTAAAAAGGCAAGCAGGGCCGGGGATTTAGCTCAGTGGTTTTGCTGCTTGCCCTGCAAGCACAAGGACTTGAGTTTGATCCCCAGTACCCAAAAAAAAGGCAAGCAGGCAAGAGTTTAGGCCAGGTATGATGGCGCACACCTGTAACCCAGCTACTCAGGAGGCTAAGGTAGGTAGATTGCAAGTTCAAGGCCAGCCTAGAAAATTTAGTAAGATCCTGTCTCAATAACAAGGACTAGGAATATAGCTCAGTGTTAAAGTTCTTACGTAGCATACATAAGGCCCTAGGTTCAATCCCAAGCCCTAGGGAGCAGCAGGAGTAACAGCAGCAGCAGGAATTTTGCCTCAGAAGTAGGAGATGAAAGAAGGGCCACACTCTGCTGGCCCAGAGTCTGGGTAAGGAGGCACCCTCCAGCCCCCACTGACCTCCCATCCCACACCTGCAGCTACCTGAATGACCTGGAGCGGATCGCTCAGAGTGACTACATCCCCACACAACAGGATGTGCTTCGGACCCGCGTGAAGACCACGGGTATTGTGGAAACACACTTTACCTTCAAGGACCTACACTTCAAGTGAGCAAGTGTGTGGGCAGGGTGGAGGGACAGCACCTGCTAACCTTGGGGTAGCAGAGAGGGGCTGACCCAGCATCTTGTAGTCCCACTCTGAGGGTTTTCAGACTGTTTTAGGAAAGCATGTCCTCACCACCAGGTAAGTCAGTGGTCACCTCTTGCCAGCTGCTCGTGGCCTCTACTGACCCTGCCCTCTGTGCATACAACCTGCCCTCCTCTGGCCTTTCCATATAGACAGGCCTGGCCTACAACCTGGGCGAAGTGGTCAAGCTGGATGGTTCCAGGAAACCACATGGGCCACTGTGGGCAGGCCAACAGGCTTTCCCTGAGGTCCCCTTTTCTAAATCTAAGGATGTTCCTAAATCTGCAGGATGTTTGATGTGGGCGGTCAGCGGTCTGAACGGAAGAAGTGGATCCACTGCTTCGAGGGTGTCACAGCCATCATCTTCTGTGTAGCCTTGAGCGCCTACGACTTGGTGCTAGCTGAGGATGAGGAGATGGTGAGAGGCCAAAAGGATACTGTGGGTGCTAGGGGATGGGGCGACACCTGGTGGCCATCCCTGAGCTCGGTCTCGCCCCCAGAACCGCATGCATGAGAGCATGAAGCTGTTTGACAGCATCTGTAACAACAAATGGTTTACGGACACGTCCATCATCCTCTTCCTCAACAAGAAGGACCTGTTCGAGGAGAAGATCACACATAGCCCACTGACCATCTGCTTTCCAGAGTACACAGGTAGGGTATTGAAGGACCTATCCCTGGGGAAGGGTGATTTCTGTCCCAAGAGCCAGTGGGGATCAGGTGGTCTGTGGGCACCTCTCTGGACAGGATGCTAACCAGTATGGGACACTAATTCATGCTTACATACTAGGCCTGCACACACAAATCCTCCTCGCTTTTTGGCGGGGGGGTTACAATTTTTGAGACAGAGTCTCACCATGCATGTAATTCAGGCTGCTTTTTAATTCACTGTGTAGTCTAGACTGGCCTGAACTTGTGGCAGTCCTCCTGCCTCAGCCTCCCAAGTGCTGAGATCACAGGTATGCAACACCATGCCAGGTTCCCCACCTTTTTGTTTTTGCAGTACTGATGGTCAAACATGGCCTAGTGCATGCTAACAGGTGCCTTACCACTAAGCTGCACCCCCAGCCCTCACACAGGGCTTTCTTACATATACAGGCATATAACTCCAAACATGTGCATATGGGTGCATCCTTTATATACACAAATGTGCATGTACATGCACACATATAGTCATCCTTGTCTCTCTACATGCCCAGAACCTTGCTGTACATGTTGTTTTGTTTTGTTTTGGTTTTTACTTTTTTTGAGACAGGGTCTCACTATGTAGTTGAGACTGACCTAGAATTCACTGTGTAGCCCAGGCTGGTCTCGAACTCACAGCGATCCTCCTGCCTCAACCTCCCGAGTGCTGGGATTACAGGTGTGCGCCACGACACCCGGCATTCTTGCTGTGCATGTTGGGTGGAGCCTGCCTGCCATATACCCACCACAAGTCTTAACTATTGTGTCTCCCTCAGGAGCCAGCAAGTATGATGAGGCAGCCAGCTACATCCAGAGTAAGTTTGAGGACCTAAATAAGCGCAAAGACACCAAGGAGATCTACACACACTTTACATGTGCTACCGATACCAAGAACGTGCAGTTTGTGTTTGACGCTGTCACCGATGTCATCATCAAGAACAACCTGAAGGACTGCGGCCTCTTCTAAGAGGCAGTGGGCCTGGCAGGATGGTGAGCCAGAGAGGGGCGAGGCAGGGAGCTGGGGAACAACAAAGTGGGGAACTGAGAGAGGCCAGGCAGGGGTGGTAGGAAAGGGCAGTCGGAAACCAGAGGACAAGGGAGGGAGCACAGATGGAGCTCAGGAGGCTGGCCAAGTGGGTGCAGGGCACTGAGGAGGTGGCACATGTAGGCCTGGCCCAGGGTCCCTTGGAGAAAACACCTCATACCTGGCTGCTGGTCTGACAGAAGCTGTGTGCTGAGGAGGCACAGCCATCTGCTGCTCACTGTGACCAGCTCTGCATTTTCTCCTCACCACCATTCTTTCCTTCAGACTTGTCTGAGAGTTGGGCCCACGCTGGCCCCACTGGCCCTGGTGGAAGTTCAGTGTTTCTGCCAATGTGATCAACTTTACCCCCCATAACCAAGCAACAGAACCTGGCTCCTGGGCAGTGACTGTGTCCTTGGTAATAGTAGGTGGGAGAAGGAAAGACTCATTGTCTGAGGAGTCAGGAGGAAGAGGCACATCCTGGCCATCATCCATGCCATGTTTGTCCTCTACCTCCAGGGCCACCGCTGACTCTGCTCCCCAAACCCCTGAGGAAGATGAGGCCAAGAAGACCACGCTCCCTGCCTGTCCCCCTGGCCGCTTCTCCCCTCCGTCCTCTTTGTTTTCAGCTCCCCTGACCCCTCCCTCAGCTGCAGACTCAGGGGAGAGGTAGCCACAGGTCTCTGTTTGAAGCCCTCTGTCAGAGGAGCCGGGAGTGGTCATGGTGCCTCTTCCTGGGCATGTTCTGGTTTTTTGGCTGTTGTCTTGTTCTGTGGTGGGAGGGGAGCACAAGCGGAGTCTCCCAAGGCCTGTGTGTGGAGGGCCACCCACTTCTCCAGCCTGGACCCCTGGCTTTGCCCAACACCAGCCCTGACCCAGCCTAAGTCCAAATGTTTACAGGGAGCCTCCTGCCCTTTCTGCCCCTCATACCGCTCGGAGGCCCCAAAGGAAAAAGCACAAGAAGCATGAGACACCACCATTCCTGGAGACCATAAGTCCACCTGCTCATTCTCATAGCTTTTTAAAAAAAAATGAAAGTAAAGAAAAAAAAAAACCTGCAAACTTAGAAAACTTTTTAGAGAAATATTTAAAACTGTCAGATCCTAACCAGCACCCACCCGACCCCAATTCCAGTGATTCTGTGCCTTGAGTGTGTCCGTGTGTTTACACCTGTCCCTCTGCTGGCCACCCCATGTGGGTGGCGCCCCTGCCCTGCCCTCTGCAGAAATGGGTTCCAAGGGCTGTCCTAGACAACTGCCAATGTCACTGCGGGCCCCACCCAGAGGCCCTGGGCCCAGGCTCCATTAACCCAAATGTAGCTCCTTAGCGCTAACCTAGGAACCACCGCTGCCTGCTGAGGGGCCAGGCCCCTCATGCCCTTGCCCCAGGCCTGGGTCCTTCAGCGTTGAACACTTCCTTGCTTTTTTCACGTTTTATGGAATTGTTCACGTGGTTTGAAATAATAAAACGTAGAAAGAAAAAAATATCAAGAACTGCTGGGTATTCTCTCCTGGGGACAAGGGTCAAAGTCAAGATGTGCCAAGGTGCCTTTGGTCCTGACATCAGTCCTCACCTGGGGCAGAGCCCTGTACACTCAATTTTCCAGGCCCAATGCTCTGAGCTTCCTTTTTCCCCCAGTTGGACTGGTCAGTAGACATGCTGGGCCCCGTGTCCCCCATCTCCTGACTCTGCAGCTTTGGGTCTGGCTGGGCAGAGACTCACTGAGCCTTTTTTTTTTTCCTCAGTACTGGGGATTAAACCCAGGGCCTTTCCTCTGAGCTACATCCCCAGCCCTTTTTTATTTTTATTTTGAGACTGGATCTCAGTAACTTAAGGTGTCCAAGGCTGGTCTCAAACTTGAGGTCTTCCTGTCTCAGCTTATGTCCTGGGATTACAGGCATGCACCATCAGATTTGTGCTGAATCTTACCAGGCTGTACTGAAGGGTTCTTGCACATTGGGACCAAGAGGGGTGTCTGTCCAGCTAGCCTCTTGTTCAGGAGATGTTGACTTTTGACTTAATAGAGGGAAAGCCCCAGAAAGTGTGAAGTGTACAGTGACAAAGCCAGGTGGGCTGTAAACCTCTGGTTTAAATATCCCAGCCCAGCAATCACCCTCCCCAACAAAGCCTGAAGGATAGAGATAAGTAGTTGGCCACACTCTGGCTACCATGCATTGGGCCTGAGGCTCTGAATATGGAGGAAAGTGCCAACTTTGGAGGCGTGTGGGTGATCCCCAAGTGCCAGGCGAGACCCCTGAACTTTCTTCTTTGAACTGCAGAGGCAGCCATAGAATAAGCCTATCTGAAAAAGTGGCAGGGGAAGGCCCATCAGGAGCTTGCCGAGAGCCTCTAGGTAGGGCGGAACTCAGACTGGTGCCTCCGCGTCCGGTCGCCAGGGGGCACTACAGTTCTTGCTCAGATGCCCGCCGGTCACAGGGGCTGACGTCACTAGGTCCCACCGGGGAAGCCCCAGCACAAAGGAAGCTTTGTGAGGCGGTAGCGGTCCCCTCCCAAGGGGACAAAGAAGTGAGGGATGGGCTGGGTTTGGCGCTGCGGAGGCAGGGAAGGAAGGGATTGGGCTCCGCCTCCGCACCTGCCAGTGCCCTGCGGTCTCGGGCCGGTGCTGGCTGGAGACGAGAGCTGCTGCCGCCGGATCGGAAGGAAATCGGCGCCCCCGCCGCCGCCTAGTGCCCACCCCGGTCCCCGGAAGCGCCCATCCTCGGATCCCTGCCCTCCACCAGACCCCGCTGAGCCCAGATTCCCGATCACCGCGATACCCACCCCGCAGGAAGTGGCTCTCAAGACAGTTCCTTCCTTCTGTCCTGAGGGAGAACCCTGCACAGAGGGACTATTGAAGGGCCCCCATTGTTTGCCCTACGCATCCAATGTCTCCCTCCCTGGGCGAGCCACAGGCTCTGGCCAGGCTCTCCCCTGACCTTGTGCCGGGCTTGGCAGTGGGTTTAGGTGGGGTCCTGGCAGCAGCCCTTCCCTGGGCGCAGACAGCTAGGCCCCCACCTGCCCTCGGCTCTCCAACCCAGAGCTCCAGTTTCCAGAGCATAAGGCCCCATTGTACCACGGGGCGGGGGTGGCTTCTCAAATAGTCTTTGGCAGTTGGGAAATTCCCTGCCATGGGGGGGGTGGCAAGCAAGAGGGACCATCCAGGTATCCTGCATCCCAGCTGGATGGACTCCATGAGGAAAGCATCCCCCTACTGTCTAGAGTTATCCAGTGTGGGGCTCAATCATTCCTCATTCCTTGGGGGCAGCTGAGTGAGGAGAGCCAGAAATTCAAGAGTCCCCATCCTGTCCCCAGGACATTCCACCCTAAGACTTGTCTTCCTGTCCATATCATGGGCAGCTACAGCTGTGTGTCCAAGGACCTTTAGTAGAGCATACAGAGCCAGGTGGGGACCCAGAGTTCTGCTCTCAGTATGGGGTGGGGCCTGTCACCAGCATGTTGATCTGCCTCCAAAAGGGCCTGGCCAACTTGAAACAGTTGCTTGAGTTACTGATGTGGTGGCAGGCTTGGTATTTTTACCCCATTTGGGGGGTGGGGGAACAAATGGGAAGAGACGGGCAAGCTCAGAGGCCCAAAGAGGGTGAGTTGGGTACCCTGTGGGAAAGAGGTAGACAGATGGCTTCTCTTCAGTTCTCCAGCCCAACAGATGGGTGGAGGCTGGGATGCCAGGTGCAGAATGGGGAAGGGGCCCTCCTCAGGGTTAGAGCTGGGCCTCCGAGTCTGCAGGAGCTTCCACAGGGTAGAAGAACCCGCTTCATGGTCCACAACAGACTCATGGCTTCAGAGGGCTGGGGGATGCAAGTCCCATGGCAGTGATGAGGACCATAGGATCTCCTTTGGGGCAGTAGACACAGGAATTGGGTTGGTGTTTTGGGATGAGTTCAGACTCAGAATCTGCCAAAAGATCCTGTAGTCCTGTCCTTGACCCTCCGTAACTTCCAGGGTCACTTGGACCTGGTTAACCACGCCACTGGCCAGGCGGTTGGAGTCAGGGCTTATGATTGACTGGACACTCTGGGTCTGACGGTGTGTACAGAATGATTTTGAGATAGGTGAGTAGATTTTTCTGACATCTGAAGCCATGAGTCTGCCTTGGAATATGCTTTCTCCATTGATTCCCCTGGAGACCCAGCATGCCCAGGGAAGTGGAAGGGCTTTCTGCAGGCATGGTCTTGCCCAACTCCCTGTGCCTGTCCTCCACTGAGTTTTGGGATCCCCAGGAATGATAGCCTCTGCTGCTCCACCCGTAGTGGGGATCGCAACCTGCGGCTTATACCTGGCACTATAGGTGTCTGGGGCTTCACAGAGGAAGGGTGATAGCTGAGGCTAACTGTGGATGGTGAGGAAGAGTCCAGCAGGTGACTTTTTAGGGGAAGTACCTAAAGGATGGAAAGCAAAGCCCAAGTAAAATCTTGACAGCCAAAGAGCTGCCGCATCCCAGAAGTGAGGCAGTTCAGGAGCACTGGCAGAGGGTCAGGGTTGAGCTAGGGAGGGTGCTGTGAATGACAGGCTAGGACCCTGCAGCCCCCATCAGCTCCTACAAGCTCTGAGGCAGGGGAGCAGAGGATCAGGTTACTATAGCAAGGACACAAAGGGAGAAGAGTAGTAGAACAACCCCAGGGACACAGCCTGGGGTAGGGTGAAGAGGTCAGGTCTCAAGCCGCAGGAGGAGGAGGTGGAGCCTTGTCCTATCTTCAGCAGGACCAAATGACCTCTCAGGGCTCCTTGAAGAGGACTGGGGCTTGGGCACTGCCAGTGGGTTGAGGACTTGTGGAGTGATGGTCTGCGGAGTCTCCAGGGGAGGGCGAAGGGAGAAGAGAAGCTCAGGTGGAATCCTGGGCACAGGGGTCAGGAGGTCAGGTCAGGTGAAAGAAGTAGTTGTGTTTGAGTGAGGGAGAGGTGAGGGGCAGGTGAGGAGTTGGCCAGAGAGAGAGAGAGAGAGAGAGGGAGGGACCAGATGGCAGGGCAGCTGGGATCTGTTTCCCCTCAAGGCTCTTACTGACCTAGATGGCCCAGGAAGCCAGAGCTGAGGTGGTGACATAGCACACCTAAGTGCCTCCACCACATGTCAGACCTACTTGACCCAGTGGCCACAGATTCAGGGAGATGAGGAGTGCTCTGAGAGGTTTGGCTCAGTCCGCAGTGAGGGCCACATCGATGGTTAGCTTCATGTGTCAGACTCAACCCTGCCTCACCTGCAGCACCTAGGGAGCCAGACCCTAGGCAGCT